GAAAAATCCGAGGCTGACATTCAAGATTTTTCACCCACAGTTTTTGAGGTGAAAAACGGATTTTTTGAAAAATATAAAAAATAAAAGCGGCACCAAAAAATTGAGGCGGGCGGCCATGTAAAACAATTTTATTAATTTTAAGTGGCCTTAAGGTCCGTGTACGTGAGTATAATTCAACTTTAGACGGAAAAAACAAAAACGAAAAAACGGGCCGTTTTCTCCATTTCGACTAGACCAATCCCAAAGGGAAAATTGGAAAACGGCTTATTTCGCGTTTATTAGTTGTCTGTCTTAACAGATCAGAAAATGCCTCGTATTCCGTTTGCCTGGAGGTAGGCGGGGTTATTGGTGTCCCTTCTGTCATTGGCCAGGTACATCGCGAAGACCACGCCCCCCCACAAGATCGTTACAGAATATGAGTTTCGGGTCTCCCCTGACTGCAGGGGTATCTGAGAGTCTCTTAATGCTGTCATTGAGGAATTCCTAGCTCGCCTGTGAATTAAAGCAGTCTTTAAAACAAAGACGACGTTTCAATCATGCTTCAAAAAAACCTTATAGGGAGCCCCAAGTAATGCATTAACCGGTGCTCTCCGATTCCTAATGGGTAGCCACGGATCTGCAATCCATACCCACGTGCACGGTTTCACTATAGCTGCAAAAAGATTTGCATTTGAATTTTTCTTCGGAGAACATTGAATGGAGCAAGCATGGTATTGGGTCGAATATTGTTGGAGCACGCCGTCTCCACCGGGTCCGTGGATGAGAAGAGATTCACAGCTGACACGGGGAGAAGTTGCAAATCACCGGTTTATTCTCTTGACTGATTATAATCAGGGAGCGGCCGTCTGACATACATTCAGCATGTACAGGAGGAGGCTCTGCCATATGTATCAGCTGTATCCCTTTTAAAACCCTTTGGGCATCTCCCCCCCCCCTTTCTCGGTACTTTCTGTCTACGTGACAACCACATGTTTGACACTTGCCCTTGTTAGCCGGCTCGTAGTTGTCCTTCTGGAAGGCTAAAAGATAAGTACAGTAAAAGAGATGATTGACAAACTTATCATATAGGGGTGTGGATTAAGGGAGAAAACAACGAAGGTGAATCATGGTTGAGGGAATGATGATGCTTAAGTGGTGAGATATTGTTACTCAATAAGAAAATGTATAAAAATTGGTGTAAAACAGTATTGGTTACACTTTGTGTTCGGCCTTGATTGTAACTTCATTGTTGCAGTAAAGACTTAATTTGGATCTATACCAGCGGCTTCTGACTTTTGATTTGGCGGGGAAGGAAAAACCACGTGCGACATTAGAACATATTACAGCCGGAAAACTGAATATGGAATGAGGCTTACTTCGCGGTGTAACAAGAAAGTCTTTGTAAGACATTCTAGGAATTAAGTAGATTTTTATGAACTGTGTTCGCCGTTCCGTAAAACTTTTTCTGAAACACTTATTCAATGGAGGTTTTAAATGAGCAGGCAGACGACTTCATTACGGAGCCCGAGAAGTTCCAGAAAATATTATATTGTGCGCTAAGACCAAAAGTACCATTTTTGGGACTTCACGAGCTCCGAAGAAGTCATATTCAAGGACTAGAACTTAAATGTCATTATACACAATTAAGGCACACCTGCTGTCCATGACTGGCTGATATGACGCCACTGGGTTGGTCAGCACTGTGCGTAGCCTACCTTTAAATATTGTAAATTAATATGTGTATTCCTGTGTTTATGTTAATTGTAAATATCGTAGCTCTGTAATGCGTGTGTAATATTACTCTGTAGCCCGTGTCCTGTAAACCCCCTTTATTAAAATGATTCGACCCCTCGCCGCTGTACGTTTTTTTCCCTCTGTATGGGTCTGCTACATCAAAAACATTTTGTGGCATCAAGGTTGTGCAGTTTATATTATTTACTCTTTCCCCTCCTAAATAATTTATTTGTTTATTGGAATGTTTCTTGTTTAATACATTTACTTACTGCGTGGTTAGCTTATTATATGTTCATGTCAAATAAAAATAAAATCATATTTATGTATATGGATACGATTTGGTATTTTTAAAAGTTTTTTCCGACAATAGTTGCTGAAACAAAGTACGTGCATGTAGTATTTGAGGTCATCTTATATTTGGGTGAAACGGTATGCAAAATAATGGGAGACAATTCATGGTCAAAATACAACCTTGCTTTTATTCTAGATGCTTTCCAGATAATGTCCCTTTTAGACCGTATTATATATGACTATGTAGATATGCAAATGTAGATATGCAAATG